TGTACTATAACAGTAGAACTATATCTGTCTGTATTGTGTACTATATCTGTCTGTATTGTGTACTATAACAGTAGAACTATATCTGTCTGTATTGTGTACTATAACAGTAAAACTATTTCTGTCTGTATTGTGTACTATATCTGTCTGTATTGTGTACTATATCTGTCTGTATTGTGTACTATATCTGTCTGTATTGTGTACTATAACAGTAGAACTATTTCTGTCTGTATTGTGTACTATATCTGTCTGTATTGTGTACTATATCTGTCTGTATTGTGTACTATAACAGTAGAGATATATCTGTCTGTACTGTGTACTATAACAGTAGAACTATTTCTGTCTAAATTGTGTACTATATCAGTAGAACTATTTCTGTCTGTACTGTGTACTATATCAGTAGAACTATTTCTGTCTGTATTGTGTACTATATCTGTCTGTATTGTGTACTATATCTGTCTGTATTGTGTACTATAACAGTAGAACTATTTCTGTCTGTATTGTGTACTATATCTGTCTGTATTGTGTACTATATCTGTCTGTATTGTGTACTATATCTGTCTGTACTGTGTACTATAACAGTAGAACTATTTCTGTCTGTATTGTGTACTATATCTGTCTGTATTGTGTACTATATCTGTCTGTATTGTGTACTATAACAGTAGAACTATTTCTGTCTGTATTGTGTACTATATCTGTCTGTATTGTGTACTATAGCAGTAGAACTATTTCTGTCTGTATTGTGTACTATATCTGTCTGTATTGTGTACTATATCTGTCTGTATTGTGTACTATAACAGTAGAACTATTTCTGTCTGTATTGTGTACTATATCTGTCTGTATTGTGTACTATATCTGTCTGTATTGTGTACTATAACAGTAGAACTATTTCTGTCTGTATTGTGTACTATAACAGTAGAATATTTCTGTCTGTTTTGATTGTGTCATTAAAGATCAATATCTGGTATTCCCCCCACAGACACCAATTGTAATCTGAAACGTCATCCCAATGGACGCAATGTGTGTATAAAAACTGTATGGGCATGCTATTGCACTCTAAATGTAAAGCTTTGGTCAGCTGTTGCAGAGTTTGGGGATACGATTGTTTTTGGCGGATATGTCTATCTATTTTTTTTTTTTCTAATTCATGTTCAATAAAGTTTGAATCTGGCGATTTAGATGGCCAAAACAGAATAGGACGCTGTGGCTTTGCAAGAATGCGCTTGTCAAACAAGCCGTATGTGGCTGTGTATTGTCAGATTGAAATACGGTTCTAGGATGCTGCATTACCGGAAGACATGTGCAGGATGGACATCGTAAAAGTACAGTTTTCCAACAAAGACTTTCGAATATGAACCAAATCAGTCTTACCTATATATATTATACCGTTTTCCACTACCACCACCAAATCTATCAAACTCCCGGAGGCAGTTTTTTTTACGTTCATTTAGAAGCTTATGTACTCTTAATCTTATATCAGGCTTTGTAATAAATATTTAACACCAAAACAAACTGTTCAGCGATGTTGCTATGGCTATACTCTGTTGGTCTGAGACCTTTGAAGTCAATATTTGTGGTTTTGTGGGTTCAGAACAATGACATAAATAAATCATCAGTTGATAATTCCAACGTCCGGGATCCAATCACAAATGATCTTGTTAACACCCTGTGCACTTCAGGAATAGCTAGTGCTGTAGACGACGTCATTATGAAACATAGATGAAATTACGCAAAACCCCTGTGCTGCTGATGTCACGCGTGGTCTGCCATATTTTTGGTGATCGTTTGTTGTATCATGTTGTTGGTATGTATTTCATAGGTTAGATATTGTGCTTTGTGCTACATTAAAACCTTTGCAAGTGTAGACTGTGGTACACCTGTTTCCAGTCGCCAAATTCCCTTCTTGCGATATGCAAAATATCATATGTAGCTTTTTTAAATAGCGTCAACTTTCAGGGAAAAAACCACAGGCACTTGTTTCGTATGTATACGGGGCACCCCTAATTATTTTTACCACAAGGTACGTACCTCAATTTCAGGCACCCCCGCTTTAAGCTCGTATTTTGTTCAAATATTAATCAATAACCTACTTTAAAATTATTTCGTTCGCTTTGAGAGACTTTTTTCTTGTCAAATAAATCCTTTCAGACGTCTCTGGTCGACCCTCTTTATTGTAAACCACTCATTTATTCATCGAAAATTACCTCGATACATATTAAAACTTTAGATGGAATACAACTTCCGGTTGGGGGTACGATAAAACCAGAGACTTCCGAGTATTCCATTCCGAGGTCTCTGGTTTTATCCTTCTTTTATAACCCCAACTGGAAATTTGTATCCCATCTAAAGTCTTGTATCGAGGTAATCAATGAGTGGTTTACAATAAAAAGGCTTGACTAGAGACATGTGAAAGGATTTTTTTGACAAGAAAAAAGTCTCTCGAAGCGAATGATATAATTTTAAAGTAGGTTAATGATTGATATATGAACAAAATACGAGCTTGAAGTGGGGATGCCTGAAACTGAGCTAGGTACCTTGTGGTAAAAATAAGTAGGGGTGCCCCGTAATTACGAAACAAGTGCCTATGGAAAACATAGGTAATCAAAGATTACGAAGCTCACCTCGACGAATGTTATCTACATGTAAGGCAAATTTCACATATTTTTATTCTAGTTAGGGTACATCCCAAGATCAATATCCATGCAAGTTTGATTTAATTATAGACCTGCTCAAAAACTTTTGACCTGTTTAGTAATCAAGAAAATTTTGGTCACTTCCAACATCCAAAGCAAGTCTGGAAGTTTTCATCCTCAGATGCACCATCTATGCAAGTTTAATCATAACAGGCCATAATATTATATAGCTACTCCAAAAAAATTACCCTGGTCACTCATCTGGAAAATGTACGTCAGATTCAGAATCCAAGGCAAGTCTGGAAGTGTCCATCCCTAGATATATCATCCATGCTAATTTGGTTAAAATATGGCTAAAATTCACTCATGTGGAAAATCTAGGTCAGATCCAGCATTCAAAGTAGGTTGGTTAGTGTACATCCCTAGATGCATCATCCATGAAAGTTTGGTCTGGGTAGGGCTTATAGTTACTTGGGAACAAGACTACTCCTAAATCTAAACCTGGTCTCACATGTGGAAAATCTAGGTCAGATCCAGCATCCGAAGCAAGTGTGGTAGTGTCCATCCCTGGATGCATCATCCATGCAAGTTTGATCCAGGTAGGGCTTATAGTTACTTAGGAATGGACCTGCTCCTAAAACTTTAACCTGGTCACTCATCCGGAAAATCTAGGTCAGATCCAGCATCCGAAGCAAGTGTGGTAGTGTCCATCCCTAGATGCATCATCCATGAAAGTTTGGTCCAGGTAGGGCTTATAGTTACTTGGGAATGGACCTGCTCCTAAAACTTTAACCTGGCCACTCATCTGGAAAATCTAGGTCAGATCCAACATCCGAAGCAAGTGTGGTAGTGACATCCCTAGATGCATCATCCATGCAAGTTTGGTCAAGGTAGGGCTTACAGTTACTTGGGAATGGACCTGCTCCTAAAACTTTAACCTGGTCACTCATCCGGAAAATCTAGGTCAGATCCAGCATCCGAAGCAAGTGTGGTAGTGTCCATCCCTAGATGCATCATCCATGCAAGTTTGATCCAGGTAGGGCTTATAGTTACTTAGGAATGGACCTGCTCCTAAAACTTTAACCTGGTCACTCATCCGGAAAATCTAGGTCAGATCCAGCATCCGAAGCAAGTGTGGTAGTGTCCATCCCTAGATGCATCATCCATGCAAGTTTGATCCAGGTAGGGCTTATAGTTACTTAGGAATGGACCTGCTCCTAAAACTTTAACCTGGTCACTCATCTGGAAAATCTAGGTCAGAACCAGCATCCGAAGCAAGTTTTGTACTGTCCATCCCTAGATGCATCATCCCTGCAAGTTTGGTCCAGGTAAGGCTTATAGTTACTTGGGAATGAGACTTGCTCCTAAAACTTTAACCTGGGACGCCGACGCTAACGCCGACGCCGACACCGACGCCGACGCCGACGCCGGGGGTATAGCATAAGCTCATCTCGACTTCGTCGAGGTGAGCTAAAAACAGAATAAAAAATATGGTGAACCCCAGCTTTTGTTAGCCCTAGGGTACCTAAAGGATGTGGATTAATTAGCAACAGAAAAAGAAAAATGTTAAAAAACCCAAATTTGTGTATTTCGCAAAATCATGTCTTTTTATCTGTGAGTTTTGTAGAATGGCTGTCAAGTTAACAACAGCATTAGAAATAATGCATTTTACTTGAATGATCACATCCACCTAAAAAAATTGTATGACAAAACTACTTAATATTATTCAGGGTATTATTTCTATTATGCGTTTTTTTAAGAGTATACTTACGTCTAACATGTCTAGTAGTTAACAAAAACACATCCAAACTATTTCACTGCAAATACTCAATTTTCTAAAAGCAAAGCCCTTCTTCCAGCAGTAGAATATAATCCATTTTGCGACTTTGATAAATTTATAACATGGACAATTATAATACTAATAAACATTTAGTAAGCTTAAACGTTTCGTACAGGATAAATGGAATTTTCAGCTATAGATTTTTAATATTTATGCAATTTTATCATTACATTGTTTACTAAGCACGCAAACAGCAGTACACTACTACTTAAAAAGATTTTTAGTAAACTTCATATTGTGTTTACTGTATTGAATTTTGACTACGAACAATCATTTAAAAATCTCATACACCAATAAAATTTTGTTGAAACTAATTACCTTTTCTTTAGGAGGTATTGAATGTGTACGACATATTGAGTTGTAAAAATGTTTGTATTCTTACATGCACCAAAGAACACGTTTAAAGATCCCCATACAGAATAAGTATGCATGGGGTATTGTGCGCCTACCGGACCCTTTTGTTTAGGAAGTCTTCTACGAAGACAGAGCGCGTATGTTTTGACAGGAATGAGGAAGAGTTAAATTGTCAGCCATTTTTGTACGAAACCACAACTAAATCAGCATCAGTGACGTGTTTCATAGGTTGACTACCGGGTACGAAATGTCACACGGCATTCTATCAGAGACAGTGGAAAACGAGTGAAGCAATACATTTGGAAATTTTGCTCTCTGACCTTGGGCTACATCATGTCGTCCCAGAGCTTTGTAGGCAAGGAGAGCTACCGTGTAAAGTGTGAGGAGGACATCTTAAAGATTCCAGATCTCATGACAGCGCGAGAGTATATGAAAAGCTGGGGACTCCAAACTAGGGGAATTAATAATACAGAACAAGCCGTGCAGATCCTGGTGGATCACTGGAAGAAAAATGAGAAACAAACCAAAGAAATTGTTAAGACCGAGGTAAGGAATTGTGAAAACGTGATTTAAAGTTGTGAAATGGAAAGATTTCGGAGAAAATGTAAAGGGAAAGGCATTTAGGAAAAGGGGGGATATAATTTTTTTTTTTTTTGAACAATGGAGTCAAGAAAAACCCCAGTTTTAAATTTGAGTTATTAGTACATTTATATAACGAAATTTGCATCGATACATCGTAAGTAATTGCTTTTTAAGGGTGTTTTACTTGTATTTAATCACAAAATATGTTGAGAATAAACGTAGTTAAAAATGACACTGGATCAGAATAATTTTAAAATAGTACAGCTGAAAATATAGAGGACTGCAGACAAGAAAGAGTTCATATTTTCCTTGGTGATAAAAATAATCCAGAATGAGAGGACACCAATACAAAGCTAAAAAAAATATGATCAATAATGCAAACACGAGGATGGATCTAGAAATGTTGTAGAAAGTGACGGAACACAGTTGGATTAAATAATGACTATTATTTTAAGTAATTTTTGTGAAATATTCAGATGTACTGTACATTTTTGGTAAAGCGTTTTATCATGACTTTTTCTTAATTAGCTTTTATTAAAGATTGCACTTTTTCAAAAACTACCATTTTAATTCACTTCCTTGTTCAAAATGCATCCATGCATTTAATATTGATTTTAAATACCAAGTCATCGTTGAGATTAAGGTCCTGTCAATATTATTTCTGAAGTTTGCATATCAAATCGAAGTGTTTTTAAAAATTTAATACCTAGAATATGTTTATCATTTTTGATTTTTATAGGACGAAAAGAAGGTAACGCATTAACTGTGCTTCTTTGTGTAATTAAAAAAAGAAACACCGGTTTTGGAAATGTATAGATAGAGTTGTCTGATTTCTCTGTTTTGTCAATTAACAAAAAGAAACGCTTTTAAAGACTACTAGGGCGAGGAATAATTAAGCTTTCTTATAGCAAATTTGTAAACAATTTTATTGAAGCGTTTGGATAAATAAGAATGGGAATATTGACAATCTTTCATTTCACCAAGTGCTCATGTTCTTATTAGTCCCCTACCGGTGAAACCGGAGGGGACTATAGGTTTCCTCTGAGTCTGTCCGTCCGTCTGTCCGTCCGTCTAGCTGTCCGTCTGTCCGTCTGTCTGTCTGTCTGTCCCTCTGTCTGTCTGTCAGTCTGTCCCACTTGGTTTTCCGCACTTTTTTCCTAAACGCTTGCAGATATTAAACTGATTTTTGGTATGTGAGTGTATCTTGATGAGTTACAGATCAAGTTTGCATTTCGTTCCGCTTCATTGATTTTTGACGGAATTACGGCCTTTTCAATTTTTACGTGTTTTCCGCAATTTTCTTCTAAACGCTTGTAGATATTGAGCTGATTTTTGGTATGTGGCTTTACCTTGATTAGTTATAGATCAAGTTTGCATTTCGTCCCGCTTCATTAATTTTTGACGGAATTATGGCATTTTCAATTCTTAACGGGAACAGAACCAGATTACACTTGCCGGTAGGGGACTAGTATTGCTCATGCAATACTCTCAGAATGCTTGTTTTATTTTAAAGTATTTATGTGTGAATAAATAATTAGTAGCATGGATGTATACATGTACATAGTAATGTGATGAACACAGCCAACTTATATTTACAATCATGCTTATAGAATGATAATATTGTTGTCTATCAAAAGCAAATATAGAAAGTATACCTTATGCATTTAATAATAGATTTATACAATTAGTATTTGGATGTGTTCAGTACCTATCAAAACAGATCAAGGACAAACAATATACATGTACATGTATATATCTGTATGTATTCGTATTTAACAGATATTTTACTTTGTATTTTATAATTACCTAATTTCATTATTTTTGTAACAAGGATTTTTATTATTTGGTTTTTTTTTTTTATCTGCCTCTCCAAACGCTTTAGAAATGCACTCAAACCAGAGGCTTTCATTTACGTTACATTATTCTCATGATACATAATCATCTTTCTAAATACAATTTTAAGACCTTAAATTGTGCGATTTTGTTCGTTGTGTCTCCAAGAGCTTTTATATTTCTTCTTGTTTATGTGTATTCTAGAATGAATTTTCTAGCGCTTTCAGAGAAACACGATACTTGTAATGTAAGAGCAGAATCTCGTATTATTAGTTTTCGCCGCGATAATTCTAGATAAAAGGCTAGCTCCACACAAGCCTTATTTTCCTATTTGCTGTTTCAAAGTGATACAGTAATTTATTCAAGTGTAACCATGTATACATTGTAGAAAAAAATATGGAAACACGTAACGGCATGGATTTTGGGTTAAATATCAAATTACACTTGATACTCCCTAATCAAAATACCCTCCATTTATAACTGTACATCACGATTTAATTACTATTAAATTGGCTTTGTAGATATCCAATGGCTTCCAAGAAGCTATGTTTGATGATCATCGCAAACGCGAAAAACTTGGAATCAAAATCGATGAGACGCTTGAATTCTTCGGAAGGTTACCAAGGCAACAACAGAGCGACCTATTGCGGTTCATTCCAGACCTTGTGCATAAATGTGAGGTCCGAAAACACGAGCTCATGTCTCCGGAATGCACAATTCTTGTAGCAGGTAAGTTGAAAAATGAATACAAGTGTTACATATTAAGAAATTCTGAGAGATAGAATGTTAAACAAAATCTTGATATCTTAAAACATAAAAACATCCATGATCTTCCTCCCTAGGGGAAACAGGCGCAGGTAAAAGTAGCTTCATCAACCTTCTGCTAGAGACAAACATCCTCCCCACCAAACAACTAGCCTGTACCAGCACGTTCTGTGAGCTTCACAAGAGCAGAGATAACCGTAAGACCGCCACATTCTATTACAAGAACTTTGAAGGTAGGGGGGCGAAATCTCCGAAGAAGATCGATATCAGTTCAAAGGAAGGTTTGAAAGAACTGACCAATGGAATCACAGAAATTGACGAGTTCATGGACGAAAGTCCCTACGAAAAAATCATAATCCAGTACCCCTTCCCATTGCTAGAGGTAAAAGTCATATAACTTCTTGTCTTATTGTAAAGGCTTCCAACCTTTATATGATATTTGATTCTTTAATCATAGAGTTGACATAAACGAGTAAAATCTAACGCCTTCTCCTTTAAAATTAATCCATCATTCATCATTTGTTTCGACATCCGTATCCAAGCTTTCTGTTTTTTCTGTGGTAATTAAAGAACTATTAAATGTGCTTTTTTACCCCATGATACTTTTTACCATTTGAAAGAATCCTTTTTGTTGTGTAACTGCTTCAATATTGATTGAAAGGAGGGGATCGTATTGGTGGATACTCCAGGTCTTGGAGAAAGTAAAAGTCTGGTAAAACACGTCAGCAAATATCTGGAAAAATCATTTGGCTTTATTTACGTGGTCAACAGCTCCAATGCTGGCGGAGTACACGAGGGGAGGGTAAATACCTAGCAAATTTTGAATTAAAAAGGTGTAATCTAAATTGTTGAAACGTTCCCAGCAAAATATGTCGTAAATTTAAAAAAAAAAATCAGAAAGATGTTACGTGTACACGTACTTATGATGCATTTTCTTTAACATTTCCAGCTGAAAGACTTTCTCCGGACTGTTATTAACATGAGTGATGAAGAATTGCACCACGATAGCACCATGTTTATTTGTAATAAATGGGAAACCGTGCCCGATAAATATAAAGAAGAAGTAAGAGACGACACAATGCGGAAGTTACAAAAATTCTTCCGGAATATAACAGAGGATCAGCTGTTTTTCATGTCCGTGGACGAGGTACTCCAAATCAATTTTTCAATCAGAGGGGTCATATTCTGGCATTTAAGTTTGCCACCAGTAATCTTTGAAATACAAATATTTCAAGCCTGTTTTATGAAAATGCATACATCGTCTCTCATTCTGTCTCTAACTATTTAGGCACAGAAACACTACGCCACGCTTGGTAAAATGTCACCGGAACATCATACCATGTTGACTGGAATACAGAGATTACTTCCGGCTAGTCTGGAGAATAAATTGAACCTTCACTATAGGTAATTACTGCCCATTTATCTCCCTAGGAAAGATCGCAAGATTACTGTTCTTAGAGATAAAGTGAAGTATGTTGATATCATGTTAAATAATACGATATATTTTGATATTCAATTTGCAGTGTTACTAGGATTTGAAATCTTTTAGACATAATGAATAAACAGTTTCAAATAGTAATCAAGCTTTCGGTTTATTAATATTATGATATTATTATAAATGTTTTGCATCCTCAGGTTTATATCTCAAATCCTGAAAAGATCTATCTACTCCTTAAAAGTTGCGAAAAACATGGCGAAATGTGACAACATTGAGAAGCAGAAACTGATTGACGACATCAGGTCACGAATGCAGACGATCCAATGTAAGGCTTTGCAATCAGTGGACGATCTTCGACGAGGAATGGAACATGAAATTGGAAGTCTGCACAAAAGTTTGACAAGTATAATAAATTCCGAGGAATTCCGAAAAGCTTGTAAATTCTGGGATCCGAGGGAATGTCCAGGATCAAAGGATTCGAAGAAACTTATTCGAGATGCATCAGAACTTATTGAAAATCGCGTCTGTATGAACATAGACAAGTGGGAGAGGCAATATAAAGTGATAAAGACTCTTAAAGATAGGATTATTGCCAAACTGAGAAGGGACTGTGAACTTATGGAAGACCAGATTCGTGAGATAGAAAGTAAGTATTTTTAATTTAATCAGTTTTAATTATAAGTACAAAAATGCATATTTAAGATCCTATTTGGCGGCGCCATCTTACAATTATATTTCAATAAATCAATTAACTTTTTATTAATTTTTCCCCTTATTGTCGAAGGTACTCTTATTGCTGGCGAAAATGCTATCATCAGAGATCTACACAAAACAATAAAAGGCGATCCAAGGGGCAAGAAACCTAAAAACAAAAAGAAAGACGACAAAAAAGATGACAGGACTGCCGACCTCAAAGTTAGATCGCTAGGGGGTGCTGTTAGTATCGCCGGGAGATTCGACAATAGCAAAGGAATCAAGTCTTTTTTCAAGACTTACAAGAAAAAATCACCGGAAGTTAGCATGGCGGAAGCAACCGATCTTTACATTCAAAATATTCTTAATTCGAAAGAACTTTACAAAAATATAGAAATTTTTCTTATGCGTTATACAAAAGGAATTGATATGGTGGCTCGCAAAATTCCGGATTTTATCGCCTCTGACGAAGAAATGATAATGGAGATAGAAAAGCAGCTTCAGGAGTCTGCTGATTGTATGCACGAAGTTCCAGAACTGATTCGAAAGTGTACTGCTTTGCTGGGAAATTTAGACTTGATATATGTTAATGATATCATGCGCAAGGACTACCGGTTGAGAGATTTGGAGTGGAGTGACAAATCAAGGCTCGGAAGTGGAGCGTTTGCTGATGTATACGCCGCCAAACTACGGCAGGGTAACAAATCCGAAAATGTAGCCCTGAAGTTGTTTAAAGATCCAGTTAAATCTAACACTGTGAGCGATATTTTGCTGGAGGATCGCACGATGAGGTAACTATTATCTTATTCTTTATCTTGAAGGGAGAAAAATCGCGTTCGCTTGGTTTAAAAATTACTACTGTTGAGTTCAAATGCATCATAAGGAAAGTTTATATGTTTGTTTTGTGACGTAAAGTACGCAGTTTATAACAATACTGTAGAATAGTTAACTTGCTGACCCTAGATAGTTACTCAAAATGGTGTTGCAAGTGTGGTCCTAACTAATCTTTTACATACACATTTATTAATCTGAAAATATATTCAATTCAAAGGAATGCATTTTTTATTTATTTTGAATCCATTATCGATTTATGTATTATATTGATTGATTGATTTGTGTTGTTTTACGTTCCTTCGAGAATTTTTCACTCATACAAGGTCTCATCCGAAGGACCCGAAACTTTCACTCCAAAGTGCCGAGTGCTTGATGAAGGAACAGTTGCTACCTATTTTTTATCGACAAAGACCTCAGTCGCGGCCGTGATTGGAACACACGACCTGCCGATCGCGGAGCGAGTGCTCTACCGACTGAGCTGTCGTGACGGTGTTGTTAACTACTGAAATGCATCTCGTAACAGAAGACTAAAAAAAAAACCAAACAAACCTGCTTCCTTTTGATCTTAACACACGAGTGGCATTTCAGTATTATACAATATTGAGATACAATATTGTGTGGCATTTCAATATTGTATAATTTTGAATGCTACTCATATGTTAATATCAAAAGGAAGCAGTTTTTTTGGTCTAATATATACCGCAAAATTTAAGGTAATAAATATATAAAATGATATTGTCAGAAATATAATGCAAATTACATCGTTTTTATGGAGAAACATGCAATTATTCACACTTGTCAGTGTTTTGAGGACGGAATTGCTGAACAGTTATGATCTCGTGTCCTTTGAAAACTGTTTTTCATCATATTCATACCTGGTCAAATTTCTGTTTGCTCAGTATGTCCTACGAAGCATTGTTTTGATTACGTATTTCACTCGGAATTACGATGTCGAAAAGAGGCATTTTGAGTTTATTTCATTCTTTTGTTAACAGTGTAAAGTGAAAACAAAAAACTTCACCTTCAATAAATTTTATTTGTTTCCTTATATGGTTAGATGTAGATGCAAGCCATATTCATTTAATAAATGAGTTTACAGTAACATAAAAATTTGAAAATGGAATTGTCATTTAGGGAGATGGACCACCGCAATTTGATTCGTTATTATGGCTGCACTCTCCAAGTTAAGGACAGGGGTAAATTGCATTGGATAATGATCTTAGAATTTTGCCAGTGCACACTCAAAGACAAAGTTATCAACGACGATTATCAGAACCCCGGAACAGTTGACGAGGCGTTACAGTTAAGACCAAAATTGGAAATGGCACGATATGCCTCACAGATTTGCCATGGGCTAGAGTATCTCCATGCAAAGGACTTGGTACATAGGGACTTGAAACTGGAAAACATCCTGGTAAGTCTGTGTTTATTACTTTGTAAACCCTTTCCCAGCGACAAATTAATGGTAAAATAATAAATAAAAGAATTAAATCACTTGTACAAATACTCAATAAGTACTTCAACAAATAAATAATCAGAGTAAAAGTCTTGTAAACAGCTGAAAAGAAGTTCGTCTTATGATGCACAAACTAGGAAATGAAAAGTGCACTAAAGTTTTTGATTTTATTTTAGATTCAATAAATATTTTTTTTTCGAAATATTGTTTTCGTTTTCCAGCTAACTAAAGACAACGATGTAAAGTTAACCGACGTCGGTCTCTCTAAGCCCCAGGGTGATATTTCGGGAACTCTCGCGGGATCCCCGGTTTACATGGCACCGGAAATTCATCTACAGAAAGGGATCTATAACCGGAAGGCTGACATATTTAGCCTCGGTATCATGTTATGGGAAATGTGGTATGGCATTGACGCAGCAGACCATATTTCTGAAGTTCTCTCAAAGAAAGGATTTAAAGCCTCGGAACTTGGAATCCTTTTGGAGAAAGGACTTAGGCCGGAAATGTTTGACCGTTATCGTCCGGATCAGGAGTGGAGCAATCTCATCGTCCAATGCTGGACACTGGAAGCGAGACAACGACCAGAGGCTCGCCATGTTCGCAGATTCTTTGACGATTTCTTACATTTGAATTCGCGAGTAAAATAAACAGATTAAGGAGTGCGTGGCATTACCATTCAGCCTATTTATATATTTTCAAAATGAATGAATAATGAGGACAATAGACACAAAGTTCCACATTTAATAGAAGATTTATAGTTAATGATACTAATCACTGAAATGATACACAAAAGACACTGGATTCCAGCGTACAAAATACATTTATTGCAACCGATCATTGACAAAATGTAAAGACACAGAAATAAAAATATACACATTTCGAGAACTTAATTATTGAAATTACTAGAAAAAACAATAAAACAATGGTGTTATAATTTTACAATAGTACAGTATTGTATAAACTAAATATAGGTCAATATTATCTTTTTTATTCCACAAATTTCTATATGAATTGTTTACAGTTTCGAAAAATCTTCAAACAAACAAAGTTGTGAACAGGGCATAAAACAAGGACCCCCTTAAACTCCAGAGGTAGGATCAGGTGTCTAGGAGGAGTAAGCATCCCTTGTCTACCGGTCACACCCGCCGTGAGACATATGAATTGATTAGGTAGAAGAAGCAATCCATAGTCAAATTTAGTGTAAAAACAATCGCTAAACACTTGGTATGAAACAAGTCGGCCAAAATATGACCAATGATAGGTTATGTTTGCTAACAAGGTCATTATAACGACGCACAGAATGTTGACTTTAAATAAGGTTATTGAAATCCTTTTAACATCAACTTATCTGTAAGTAACCCGATTCGGTTTAAAAATGATCAGAGATGATACTCGGAGAATACTCTTAAGTATCGAATAAGTTTGAAGACGTAAACACCGCATGCAGGTGATAGCGGAATGTTACTACATTAATAGAGAAAGTTGATGGAAAAGTTTAAGTCATCTTGTTTGTCATACAATTCGGCTGTTAGTTTGCCCTTATCGTCTGCAGTCAGTTAAACAACCAAATATGAAGGAAATGTGACAGACTCTGTGATGTCTTTTAGTTCAAGTTCACTGGGATATATCGAGTCGTGTTAATTGATCAAACGTCTTCGATATATCTGAAAGTCCAGTTGAAGGTCTCAGCAAATGTTTGAATTCTTCTTCTCATGTAGAAGATTTTGTCAATGAATAAATTCTGCTTCATCGGAATATGAAAACTGGTCGGCTAATAAAGGAGCACAAATAGTTCCCATCGAAATTTCAACAGTTTTTTGGAAGATCAGATCTCAAAAAAACTACATAAATGTTGTCAGTGGGGAATCTTTTTAATGTCAAGTTCAGAGTACTCTTGTGTACAATCAGAATGATTTTTATCAATGTAATTCTGTTGATGACCAAAAAACAAGTTAAAAAAAACTTCCGAGTTCCATTTTTACTGAAGTAGCAATTGTCTATGATATTAAAAAAACATAGTTTTTAATTTATTATCATGAGGGATGGTTGTATAAAATGAAGAAAGGTTGTACGTTTTTCCTGTTGTTCTTTGAAGTTTTTGAGAATCCACATCTGATTTACATCGCTTCTAGAATATGCTTTAACACAGTACGTCTGAAGTCTCTCATTTACAGCAGTTAACAATTTTGTGAGGAGTAAAGATAGGTGCTTGGTAAAGCATCTGCTGGACACGGCTACATATATGTATGTATCTCTGTTTATGAGAGAAGTTTAAGAATCCAGTATATAGGTAGGGTATATCGAACTCACCTTGCATGACTGGAATGTTTAAAGTATTAAACAATGAAATGTGATTTTGAAGAATTTCATCTTTAGAAAGTGAACTTTAAGTATAATTTGGAATTTGGATTTCCAGACCTAGAATTAAAACTAAATTCAATAAACAAAGTCATAGTAATGAGCTTTACAAACAAAGAAGAAATAGTTACAAACCTTGTCTGTTGGGACCATATCATATTGTTCAATTAGTCTTTCTAATTCTTTTATCACCCCCAATTTAGTGAAAAAGGAAAAAATAAATATAGTTCGCATATTGCCTTTTTACTCTCTAATACACTCCTTCATATATTTCTGAAACACTTAATCCACTCTGACGAAGTGTTCAGGTCTTCCTTTTCATATATAACCCAACATCTGACATAATCATCTCAATAATTCATAAAAGAAATGGAGTTCTATTTCCAATTGAAAGATCGAGGCTCACTATTTAGGACATTTTAATACAATGGATTTAAGTCTTCATTTTCAGCTATATTAACATCACGAGTAATGACGTTTCCAGCGTATGGTGTTCCGTTGGGACCTCTCGCACCTTCGCACTCTCGCCTTTAGGGCGAAGATGCGAGAGTAAGAAGTAGCGAAGGCGAAAGAGCGAAGGCGAAGGAGCGAAAGTGCGTAGATGCGACGGCGAAGTGCGAAGATGCGATGGCAAAGCGCGAAGATGCGAGAGCGAAAGTGCGAAGTTGCGAAGGCGAAAGTGCGATATTAATATCGCTCCTTCGCCTTCGCACCCTCGCACTCTCGCCTTTGCATTTTCACACCCTCGCACTTTCGCCTTTGCAACTTTGCACTCTCGCATTTTCCCCTAAAGGCGAGAGTGCGAAGGCGAAGTTGCGAAGGCGAAGGAGCGAAAGTGCGAAGATACGACGGCGAGGCTGCGAAGGCGAAGGAGCGATACTAATATCGCACTTTCGCCTTCGCAACTTCGCACTTTCAACTTCGCACTTTCGCCTTCGCATTTTACTTCTATGGAGCTCTTTATCGTTATGAGTTAACTTTAGTGGACTCTTGGATGTTATTGGTACGCATGCGCTAGATTAGTGTGACGGCGCAAAAATGGATGCTAAGCAATGGTTGAAATTCATTGTACAATGACGATTTTACTAATGAATATACACTTGCTTTTTTATGAATCGAGAAATATTGTAATTGATAACTTGACACTCTAATTTTATATACAATGGTAGATTATATACTGTAATGATGGTAAATGATTGTTGTACCTGGTGCACGAGCAAAATTATAGATATATATGTATTCGTAGTGGTGGTGTGCATCACAATCTCAACTAAAGGACATGGAACATAAGATTTTATCATGATCGATAAACTGTAAAAAGTTTGATTTTGAGATATTGATTTATCCTTGTGTAATATAAATGTGCATATATGCAGTAGATGTGCTTCGATCTACATTGTAAGCATACGATAGAGAACGCCACCAAAAAAAAAAGGTGAAGGCGAAATTGCGAAGGTGCGAGGGCGAAAATGCGAAGTTGCAGAGGCGAAAGTGCGATACTAGTATCGCTCCTTCTCCGTCGCACCTTCGCCCTCGTAACTTCGCGCTTCGCCGTCGCATCTTCGCATTTCGCTCCTTCGCCTTCGCAATTTCGCACTTTCGCCTTCGCAACTTCGCACTCTCGCATCTTCGCCCTAAAGGCGAGGTGCGAGTGGCCCCAACGGAACACCATAGAAACACCATACCAGCGGGACTGCAGTTGACAGGAGCAGAAAAAGAACACGTAAGAGGACTTTGTTTTCGATGTTAAATATGTAACTTATTAGATCATTGAAATGACAAATTAGATACAACATTAAAATAATGACACACACATAACATACACAGGGTACTGTAACAGAGTACATGTATGTGCAACATGGAAAGTAATTGATAATTGAAAGGAATAAACATAGATACCAAACTATACAGAACATTTAGAGTTTAAACGAGAAACATTCGGGGAAAAGTACCAAAATACACAACAAAATACAAAACATTCTGGGTGTCTTGTTAATGAAATTACGAAAAATATAATTAACCTAAAAAAAGGTTTTTTTCATCTCAATCGGATGAGTAGTTGCTAGAATGTTCACCTCAAGGACAAAAAAGTACCGAAAGAATTATTAAATGATCGTTTGTTATGATACAATGAAACACCCAGCATTTCGTATTTATCTAATGGTAAGTAAATATTTCTGTATTTTTTTTTAGCTTAGATAAAAGATCGATTGATTGTATATTGTTTTGCGTCCGCTTCGAGAATTTTTTCATTCATATAGAGACGTCACCATATCCTGGGAAAGTGCTTCAATTTTTGGATTAATTTTATCCGTTTTTACATCACAAAATTAAATACCATAAGGTTAAAAAAATTAAAATTATTGATTAATTGCAATAGCATCCTTCCCACAATTTATAATATGATGCTTTATTTTATCTTGAAATCTTAGCCTCCGCTATTAAAGTAATACGCTATATAACATAAAAGAAATATCCCATTATATGCACATATGCAAATCCTATAGCTACTATAATTTTGTCCAAGTGTATTATCAACATTTTATGAATTTCTTCAAACAGTACTAAGTAATGGTTTCAATATGCCAGAAAAATGATGAAAATCTTTTATGTATGATGGAGGGAGTGCAGAAGTGTTTATGCAGATGCATAAATTGTGCACTTTCTTTATTGACTCTTAATGCAATTTACAAATTAAAAAAAACTTTCCAGGCCCTTAGGAAGCCATTTGAGTGGAAGGGGGAGGAAGGGGGGGGGGCAACCGAACATAGATAAGAAAATCTTCGATTAAAAAGACTAAGATAAAAAAAAAAATTTAAAAAGTTATAAAACATCACCTGCATAGGGGGTTTATGTCTCCCAGTTGATTAGACGCAAGAGCAAGCTCTTCGTACGATCAATTTCTCAAAAGAGGCAGGTTATTGACAAATAAGTTACTGATACAAGGATATCTAGATTCTCGTTTAATTTCAACATATTTCAAATTCTATGGTCGATACAATGACCTTGTTTGCAACAAGCCGAATGTTGACTGACGTCTTTCATACAAACTGATATTTTCACACTGAATTGTTTACAGATTTTTCTGTTTGTCGTGACAAAAAAGACATGTCAGGCGTGACCCATCGACTGGGGATACTAACTCCTCCATGACACCTTATCCAAAATCTGTTTACAGAGGCCCAGTTTGTATTATTTGATTGAACTTTGAGAGTGATTACTGTTCGTTATCTCAACATGAAATATGGAGATAACGAACAGTATTCAAGCTCAAACGTCCATTAAAACAATACAAATCGGGAGCAGAGCAAACACAGACCTTCAAAAACAGAGGTGGGATCAGGTGCCATGGAGGAGTGAGCATCCCCTGCCGACCGGTTACACCCGCCGTGTGCTCCTTGTCATGATCGGTAAATAACGGAAAAATCCGTTCGACAAATCAGTGTGTAAAAAAATTGGCCTAACAATTACAAACTAACAAATTCATGATCATTGTACCGACCATAGAACCTACGAAATGATGACTTTAAACGAGACTGTTGATATTCCTGTTTCATCAACTTGTTTGTCAATAACTTACCTCGTTTTAGAAATTGTTCAAACGTAGAGTCTGTTCTTGTGTATCGAATCAACTGAGAGATATACACCCAATATGCAGGTGATAAGGGTGTTTTGCTGCATAAGTAAGGGAAGTTGACGATTGAAAAGTTAAAGTCATCACGTTTATCATAAAGCTTTGTTGGTGTAATCTGGTTCCCGCTAAAAATTGAAAATGCCATAATTCCGTGAAAAATCAGTGAAGCGGAATGAAATTCAAACTTGATTTATAACTCATCATGGTAAAGTCACATACCAAAAATCAGCTCAATATCTGCAACGTTTAGAAAAAAATTGCGGAAAACCCTGAAAAATTGAAAAGGACGTAATTCCGCCAAAAATCATTGAAGCGGAACGAAATGCAAACTTGATCTGTAGCTCATCAAGATACACTCACATACAAAAAAAGCTCAATATCTGCAAGCATTTAGAAAAAAGTGCGGAAAACCAAGTGGGACAGACTGACAGAGGGACAGACGGACAGCTAGACAGACAGACGGACGGACAGACTCAGAGGAAACCTATAGTCCCCTCCGGTTTCACCGGTAGGGGACTAATAAGGGAAATGACAAAAGAAAAGTTGAAGTCATCACAATTATCATAAAGTTAGTTGTTTGTTTATCATCAATGTCTTTCATTTGATATGGTTGCTCAATGCGTTTACAATATTCACTTGTTATAGACGACTTTCCTGTGCCTTTAAAACCATGGATAACAATAACAATATTATCATTTGATTTTTCTCTACTAATGTCTGCAGTTCTGTTTTTGAGTTTTGAGTAGTAATTCTGCCATTATGTAGAACTTTAAATGACAGGTATCAGACTGAGTATGTTAACATTTATTACGGAAATTAACATTGATATATACAAGTACCTATAACTAGAATTTAATGAATTGACTTTTATCCCACGTAGAAGTTTAATTTGACATTTGAAATCAAATGCATTGTACATTTGCTTTGATTATTATCTGCTGAAGAGTAAAACATGCATAGGCTTCTCTGGAAAAAAAAACTTAAATCATTTTGTATTCCTTGCTTTTAAATACTCATTACAAACAAAGAGGCATATCTTAATTAAACACAAATAGTATAACACTACATTTGACTCGAGTTTATCGTGTTTCACTTCCCACATCAAACGTTTTAATAATACCATCATATTCACGTTTGATTCTAATAAGACGTCCAGATGTCTCTTCGCGTTTATTGAAATCTTTTGAATTTTCAAATGCTACAATCAGTCGGTGTAATTCACCCTTTGCACGGTTTAGAGTTAATAACATTTCTTCTTTCAATCCTAGAGTGAACTGAACGTCAATCAATAACTCAATACAATCAATAATGACAAGATTGACAGGGTTCTGTTCAATAATTAGATCACATAATCTTAATTCAATTTGTAAAATTCTTTCAGCTTTTTTAAATTTTCCAAGAGATATAAGACACTTTGCATAATTGTAAGCGAGATCAAGTAAAGTAAGATCTGTCACTGATATTTTATATTTCAATTCAAGCGCCTGTTTGTAGGCTGGTACTGCCTTTTCAAAATTTCCTAATTTCATGTAAGCTTTCCCAAGAATCTCAAAAAGCATAGATCGAGCATCATAGTAATAATCGGATATATTTTCAAACCGCTGAAGACTATTGGTAAGCAGAATTACGGCCTTTTCATTTTGACCCATTTCTATTAAATTTTCTGCAACATTTCTTTCAGAGACTATTATAGCCTTTAGAGGGGCTTTTGTCTCCAACTTTATCTCTAAACTTTTTTGGAAGAAATGCGCTGCCTTTTCCCGGTCTCCTTTATTTTTATACATTATTCCCATGTTGTTCATTACAGAACCAATAATAGGGTGCTTCTCTGTTCCAATAACGTGGAGTCTTCGTCTTAACACTTCAAGTTGCAAAGGTTCACCTTTCCCGATACGGCCTGTTAAAATTGAAAGATTTGCTTATATTTACGTATCCTTATACCTAAACTTTTACCTCATGATTCGGTTTTTACCTTACCTGATATATTGTAAAATATTGCAAGGTTCTGCATTGTTTGAAGGATAAGGTGTTCATAGTACATTTTCTGTTCCTTTTCGACTTCAAGTGCCATTTCTAAAACACTAGTAAATGTACGAAAATCAGTGAACATAAATTACCTGCACATGAAAGAAATTTCTAAAATGAAAATACAAATATCCCCGCTGGAAAATTGTCTCAATGACAATTGTAGGTTTCTTAGTGACACCACTCAGTATTTAAAAAATAAAATTACAATCGAAGATTATATTTGTATTACCTAAAAGATTCCGTAAACTTCCCTTGACATCCAAGATTCCAACCGTAACTTTGACATAAGTGAGCAAGGTAAAAGTCTCTTCTTTCGGGATGGCGTTTTCTTAATTCAAATGCAACTCGAAACATGTCCTCTCCCTCGTCATAATTTCCCTAAAATTCATTTGACGTCATTGGATTTTAAAAATAATTGGATGGATTTATTTCTGTGAAAATATGTTAATCATAAAATAAATTGGATTGTGACAACCAATTCATTTATACCTTAATGTTCGTGAGGACCCTTCCATATCCTGTTAACACTTTAGATTCATCTATTTCCTCTTTGAACTCTCTAGTTTTTTGCAAGCATTTCTCAAAATATTCTATACCAAACTCTGTCAAAGAACACTCAAATATCAAATATATTCACTGCGTCGTTTTCTTTTCTTAGTTAATATAAATAACATTTCCAAAGAAAATTTTGCGGAAAGAATTTCTTCTAAATCTTCTCAATAAAGATTTGCAGAGTTGTTTAGCCCATTCTCTAGTTTTCAGTAATTTAAATTGTTTCTGTCAGTAAATTGAGCTTATCATCAGTAATTTCGTGTTGGTTATACCTTGGCTCATTTGATATCTTTTAGATATGAATAATTTTATTGCTATGTTCTTATCTGTTTTTTTTCATCATGTATCATACATTATTAATAAATGGGACTTCGTATATAAATCATTATCCCTATCATTACTTAAGTCTTAAAATTACATAGGGAAAACAACTAAAATTCGGAGCATGAGCATGACTAATACACGTAGGTCAATTAATATTCGTTATAGTAAGCAGCTCTGTATGGTTCGTACCGTATGTTGTCATGGCAGTGAATAGAATAGCTCCGTCTGCAATAGTGGTGGCTGCTAAATCTACAAACACAGGGTACGTGTCCTCTGTGCAATGAATGACGTCAGTGAACAGTTGCTGAAAATTTTGGTGTTCCACATTCAACATACACATCGCCCCTGCGTAATCTTCTGTTTGTGATTTCTTCTCTATTTCTTTTAATATATTCGCAAATGTTTGACAAAATCTTCTTCGAACACCTATAATATGTAATAATAATTTATTCTTGAATTAGACTTTCTGTAATTGAAAATTGAAAATCACTATCAAATGAGATTTACCTTCTAAATCTTTAATTTTTAAATATTCCCGTATACAATCTCGCAGGATTCCATGAATGTTGAGTCTTCCCGTAAGATCAGGCGATACATGATGGTGCTGAAGTAGGGTTCGTAATGAATCCTGACTTTCTTGGTCGGAAATTCCTTTCAAATATTAAAGTGTCATAATTTGTTTTATTGTGATTATTTGATGAATAAAGGAGATAAATATGTATTGGAGTAGATACCTAAAATTTCCGTGACCTCTTCTTCGTTAAATGATCCAGGTATGTAGTTAATGACCGCCAAATGTTCTTTTAAAGTCGCTGAGAGGCGATCCAAAAATCCTTTATACATTGAATCTGAAAATGTATGAGTATACATTAAAACTTTGTTTCAAATATTTGTAAATTATCGGCAAAGCTTTTCCCTGATGTACTTATATATGTAAACAAGAGGCCCAGGGGCCACATCGCTCACCTGAGCACTTTGGCTAGGAAAAAGCAGAATTCACTTTAGTATTGAAAAGTTTAAATATAGAAAGGGGTATGATTTAAACACTTGGATCTACACTTCCTATGGATGCTTTTTGAATTAATATGACACATAATGGCTTTGCTGTTCTTGAGATGGAAATTTTTATTGATATATCCTTTATAATTCCTTTGTATAACTATGATCCCCCTGTTATGGCCGCTCTATTCTCGTGGGGGAGGAGGGAGGGGGGTATCATGATTTGAACAAATTTAAATCTACATTACCAGAGGATGCTTTTTTATTATTATGACCAATTATGGGCTTGTTCTTGTGAAGAATTTTAAATATTTTTCCTGTGTATTCCTAGTATATAAAACTTTGATCACCCTTTGTGGCCCGACCTTAGCCCTGGGGGTTATGATCTGAACAAACTTGAATCTGCACTACCTAAGGATTCTTGCATATCACAGCTTTGGTGTTCTCTAGAAGATTTTTGAAATATTTTTCTTATGTATTCCTTTGTAAAACTTTGATCACTCATTGTGGCCCCACCCTAACCCCAGGGGTTATGATTTGAACAAACTTGAATCTGCACTACCTGGGGATGCTTCCACATAAATAAGACCAGTCCCAGCTTTGGTGTTCTCGAGAAGAAGATTTTTTAAAAGATTTTTCTTATGTATTCCTATGTAAAACTTTGATCCCCCATTGTGGCCCCACCCTAACCCTGGGGGTCATGATTTGAACAAATTTGAATTTTTACTACCTCACAATGATTCCACATAAGTTTCATGTTTTCAAGCACAGTAGTTCTTGAGAAGAATTTTAAATGATGCCATTAGTTTTTCACAAAATCATAATTATCTCCCGTTGAAAGAAGGCGTGGCCCTTCATTTGAACAAACTTGAATCCCCTTTACCCAAGGATACTTTTGGCAAGTTTGGTTGAAATTGGCCCATTGGTTCTTGAGAAGAAGATGAAAATGTGAAACGCTTACGACAAAGACAACAACGAGAACGACGACGACGACAGACAACGGACAAATTTCGATCAGAGTAGCTCACTTGAGCCTTCGGCAGATTTCTTAAATTTACCCAATAATTACTTAAATATCATATTTCAACAAATTATTTAAAAAGATTATTCTATCTCTTACCTACTCGTTCGTCTTGAACGTAATATTCCGAGCTCAGTATCCTTAATCTGCTCCTACTAAGAAGCTCAATAATATCATCTGCATCCAGAGGGTTACTGTCATCTGCAATTTCGGCTCCAGACAGAATTAATGCCAGAGGGATGCCCTCACAAAGTTCTACGATTTTTCCAATTTTAGTTGCCTCTATCAGTGAAGGACATACATATCGAAATAATTTCACAGAGTCTTGATGACACATTGGACGTAAGTGAAAATCCTCGAAATTTTCTCTCCACATCGATAAACAAGTAATAGATGTTACCAAAATTTTGATGTATTTTGTTCGAGCAAGACTCTCAATAATGTGATTTGCAAATTCAAATTGACTTTCGTTGAATATATCTTCAGCATTATCGAAAATTATTAGATAAGATGCTTTCCTGTAGGCAATATTTTCTGTGAGAATAACCAACATTTCGTCAAGGCTCTCGTTGGTAAAGGCCTCATATAAAAAATGACGACCTAAAGCTTTAAGTAATCCTTCACAATTAACAACATTTTTTAAATCTACCCAAATAGATTTACAATCGACCAAGTCACAAAACCGTCGTGCTATTGACGATTTTCCTATAGCTTTCAATCCGTGAATGACGATTACATCAGACTTAATGTATTTATTCATTACCTCTCCGAGTTCTTCGTCTCTTCCTATAAAGGTAGCCATCTTGTTTATTCTCTACATATAAGAACTTGCGTCGTTTCTACTGTTCGTACTTCAGCAAAATTTATTCAAAAAGAACAATGCTATATAAGCATGATAACAATCCATTTATTTGCCCTCTTCTGGGTTTAAAAAACCGTACCTGAATGCAAAGTGTGAATTATTTCTACAGGTATATGATACTTTCTCATAGAAGGACCATTACTCATACTTTTCAGAATTGTCTTAAACAAAGTCATTTAATTTCTTTCAAAACTAAGAAACTTAATCTTAAACAACGCTATTTATATATATAAAAAAAAAAAAAAAATAACCGATCCAGAGATCCAGGACCAACAGTGGCTGTCAGCTATCATCCGCAACTGTACTCGGCAATGCTGGTACCGGACATCCATGACTGTACCTGCTCACTAATATCAAAAACGGAATGTCAGAGCAAGATTTTCCGGATTGTTCAACGTATTAAACTATATGTTGTTGATTAAGTATGGATTGTTTTTTAATGAAAAATACGAAATGTGTTAATATGGAGGAAAGAAAATTTCTGATTTTAAATAAATCTACTTTATGGAAGGCTGTAATCGCCAAAACGGTAACAATAACTGGCTTAGTGAATATATCGCGGAAAATATATGTAAGCTTGACTATGCCTAAATCCATTGTATGAATCGCTATTATCTCTAAAAAGTAACATTTACTACAGCGTACATTTTGTATATCTATGACTGTATCCTGTGCCTGATATACAACATCTGCGACTGTACCTGTGCCGTACATACACACTACCACTGACTCAACTCGAGCTTGATTAATAACATCCACAACAAAAAATTCTGTGGATTTTCTCCGATTTAGATTTAGACTGAATTCAATCAAAGCGCAATTAACGCTAATCTTTATATAACCCATGACAGTGATACCGAGACAAACGATGTCAGCAGTAATTAGGGAAGGATCCAAAACTTTTACAGATTTAAGTTTAAAGCTTTATGTTCAGAGTACAATATGAGCCAGGTCTTTAATTTTTTTTTTGGGGGGGGGGGCTGGGGGCATGATTTCAATATCCAAAGTGCTCAATAATAATGATGAATTTAAAATGAAACATGCTAGTATAATTATAGAAAATATGCGAATAAACAATAAACAAAATAAAATAAAAAAGGAAATTAAAATAAATATTGGAATTAATTTGTAATCCTTAATTTTATGTTAGAAAGTATAAGTACGTCACAATATTATTAATTTCACCCATTTCATTGATCACGCAAGTGGTGTCAATGAAAAACACAGGTTTTTTCCCATAAATATATGTCTTACGATATATACGGGTGGAATGGGCTGATTCACCCGTTTTCAATGTGTTATATATAAACATCTCAAGTGCACCCCAGGAAGTAGCCTCCTATGCCCTGCATGAAAAAGAATAGATCCTGACAAAAAAAAACTTTATTTATTTACAAAGTACATAAAATTTACTAGGCACAGGCATCAAAGTTGTAAAAATAGACTGGAAGACCCCCCCCCCCTCCCCCCCGAAAAAAAATAAATTCTCAAAAGAAATAAAAATTAATTTTATATGCATGGAACAATTAACATCTTGACTGGTCGATAACCGTGGTGTGATACCTGAAATATGTAGGGTATGGTATTAAAATAATTGATCATATTAAAGGAAATTAATGCTATAATTATCGATAACATCCGAAGAAAATATTTGTATAAGTAAATATTTTTATTAGATCCACCTCTCTAAGATTCTGCTGTACTATCCAGACAACTCTAGAAATTTTACACCATGACTGTACCGGTGTCTGATTGACAACATCCACGAATGTACCTGTCCAGTACACACACTCCATGACTGTACCAGTGCTTATAAACAACATCCCTGACTGTACCTGTGCCTTATAAACAACATCCCTGACTGTACCTGTCCAGTACACACACTTTATTCTACATCCATGACTGTACCAGTGCTTATAAACAACATCCATGACTGTACCTGTACCTTATAAACAGCATCCCTGACTGTACCTGTGCCTTATAAACAACATCCATGACTGTACCTTTGCCTTATAAACAACATCCATGACTGTATCTGTGCCTTATAAACAACATCCCTGACTGTACATGTGTCTTATAAACAGCATCCATGACTGTACCTGTGCCTTATAAACAACATCCATGACTGTACTTGTCCAGTACACACACTTTATTCTACATCCATGACTGCATCTTGCTTTATTAACAACATCCAAGAAAAGTTATTCAAGGCTCTACTTAAAGTTTGTTCTTTTTCGTTTGTGACCCGAACCCCCACCCCGTCAAAAAAATTGAATCATATGCCTGCAAGAAGGCGTGGGATTTAGACTTTCGTTTTTAAGAGGAAATACTCCTTCTTTCGATAAACTCCATTCTCGCCTTCACAACTTCTGCCAAGTTTTATTATTATTGTAGAAGAGTTTATAAGTAATGGATTAATTATTTTAAAACCAGTGTCAAAAAGTTAACTGCTCATTTAAAACTCTTCTCATAAAGAGGGGGAAGGGTTAGACAATTTTATAAATTGAAATCGGGCTTTAAACATAACGAGTGAACAAGATTTTCAAATACTCATGGAAATGGATAAATAACCATCAAATCTCTCCGTATGTTTAACTTATGTAAAAGTCAACTGACATATTAGATTCATTGGGAATAAAATGACTATTTTTGCTGCTTTTAGTCTGTAAACATATGTTCTACACCCTCACCCACCCCACACCCTCACCCCCACCCCCAAATAACTCACTCCCCTGAAATAAAAAACAATTGGTATAAATTTGAAGTTGTGAAATAACAATTCATAATACTTGAAAAAGGAATTGTTGTTTCAGTGAGGGGGGGGGGGGGATAAAAATATTTTCCGTTGATTTCTAAAGAGATGAGATGAAGTTTTACCAAAATTATAAACTTACCTCTCTTTGTTTTCCCAAATAAGTTAATATGTTTTCTGATAAAATTCACATAAATATTCGGTATGTAAATATGAAAAAATCATTCCAATATGTTAACTTTCTAAATTAACTCTGCGATAGGTGGCAGAATTTTACTATCATTCTTGCTATCATATAGTTTATTCAAGCATGCGTATTAAAGTTATTGAGACAAGCCTTCTGCATTAGCAATACTAGTCCCCTACCGGAAAGTGTAATCTGGTTCCCATTAAAAATTGAAAATGCTGTAATTCTGTCAAAAATCATTGAAGCGGAACATAATGCAAACTTGATCTATAACTCATCAAGATACACTGACATACCAAATATCAACACTCAATATCTGCAAACGTTTTAAAAAAAGTGTGGAAAACCCTTAAAAATTAAAAAGGTTGTAATTCCCTCAAAAATCAATGAAGCGGAACGAAATTAAAAACCTGATCTGTAACTCATCAATACACACTAACATATCAAAATCAGCTTATCTGCAAGCGTTTAGAAAAAAATGCGGAAAACCAAGTGGGACAGAGTGACAGCTAGGCGGACAGACAGACGGACGGACAGACTCAGAGGAAACCTATCGTCCCCTCCGGTTTCAATTTATTTTATTAGTTAATTGTTTATAGAAATCGGAGGGAACGATAGGTTTCCTCTGAGTCTGTCCGTCCGTCTGTCGGTCTGTCTGTCTGTCAGTCTGTCCCACTTGGTTTTTCCGCACTTTTTTCTATACGCTTGCAGATATTGAGCTGATTTTTGGTATGTGAGTGTATCTTGATGAGTTACAGATCAAATTTGCATTTCGTTACGCTTCAGTGCTCTTTGACGGAATTACGACCTTTTCATTTTTTCAGGGTTTTCCGCAATTTTTTTCTAAACGCTTGCAGATATTGAGCTGATTTTTGGTATGTGGCTTTACCATGATGGGTTATAGATGAAGTTTTTATTTCGTTCCGCTTCATTGATTTTTGACAGAATTATGGCATTTTCAATTTTTAACGGGAACCAGATTACACTTGCCGGTAGGGGACTAGTATTGCTAATGCAATGCTCTCAGAATGCTTGTTCTTGATGAAAGGGCAGATTAATTACTCTATTTGCATAAATGTACCACAAAATTAGAACTCTTTAGTGTGCAGTGTATAGAGGGCTCTTAAGCACATGAAAAAAAATCCAACTTTTTCCTCATTTTCCTCTCCTGTTTATTTCATGTTTCATCATTGGCTTATTTCTTAATTCTTTTGAATGCCATTTAAACATTGAATTGTGAAGTGTAGATACATGTAGTATTACATGTACTGCAATAATTATTTTCAATAGGTCTTTCTTTGTTAACACGATAAAATGCACTATTCCATCCTAAAATGTTTTCAACTATGAAAACATTTTTACACCTTCTTCTGTGTCAATCCCAAAGTTGCGGGGTATTATTATCATAGTTTACAACTGATTATACGTCAAACGTATACGACAAATGTTTATTAAAATTAATTAAAATTAATAATAGTAATTGGCTATGAGTTGACTTATAGCTTTGAGTTTTCCACCTGTACACTGATGATTATTCGTGTCTCGAACTTGATTCTAATTGATTTTCATGGTCAAATTTTAAGAGTCAATGACACACTTAAAGATCAAAATTTGTGAGTAAAATAAAATTGTTTAAATATTGTTGTTTTTTATGGTAGGATGGTCCAAATACAGTATACAATACGTACCTCTTAAATCCTGAGAAGTTTATTGTGTGTAAATCTTGATTATACGGCATAGGTACAGTCATAGATGTAGTGTGTGTCATACACAGGTACAGTTGTGGATGTTGTTTATAAGGCACAGGTACAGTCATGGATGTAGAATAAAGTGTGTGTACTGGACAGGTACAGTCGTGGATGTTGTTTATAAGGCACGGGTACAGTCAGGGATGTAGAGTTAGATGTGTATATTGCACAGGTACAGTCATGGATGTTGTTTATAAGGCACAGGTACAGTCATGGATGTTGTTTATAAGGCACAGGTACAGTCAGGGATGTA